GCGCACCGCTGCCTCCTGGCCGCGGAGGTCCGGTGCGGTTCCGCGTGTCCTCGATCACGGCTGAAGAGCTCTATGTCCCCCCTAGGTTTTCCTTAAAGTTACCCACGCTGTGATTTCGTTTAAATTCCTGCCTGCGCTGTGGGCGAACGACACGTTTTTGCTTGCTTGCCCCGGCGCTGCAGCAGTAGCCTGGCTGCGGAGGAGCAGGCCGGTGCCCGGGCCAGCCTCCCCGGTGCCGCCCTGAGCATCCCCTCCGGCTCAGAGACCACCGCGCAGGTCTGGGCACCCTGGCTGTCGGACACTGGCTGTGGGGCTCGGCGCTGTGCTGCCCTGAGAGCAACGTTTGCAAGACAGCAGGCACCTCACACGTGTGTGCAATGCCCCTACTTCACCCACTAATGTCACTTAATTCCACTAAGGTGAAAGGAATTTCAGCTGTGCTAGCTGCTCTAGAGTCCTCTTCCACTGAGCCTGGTTGCTACGCTAAGAGATTCACGTTTAGCTCTTTGCTGTAAATGTACTACCCTACTTGAAATATCAGCTTGCAGTATAAAGCCAGCTGGCTCTGCACCTTCGGTCTAATGTTTTCTCCCGATGGAGTACACATCTCTGACCTTTGTCTTTCTGAACTATTTTAAACAATAGTTCTGCTGTTTTAATAAAACTTTCCTATTATTCGGCTGGGAAATACCTGAAGAGAAAGCTCAGGAGTGGTCTGGAGGACAGTTATGCAAAACGTCAAAGTAAGGTCATTTATCTTTAAGCCTTTCTTAGCGTCATTCCTAAATTTATGATATTAACCCCAGCAAAACGTACAAAATGGGTACGTATACCTATATGCCCACACATATAAAGGGCTGGGGGACACGCTCCTGCCTCCAAGTCCGTGTTCAGTCCGCAGATGTTCACTCTCACCTCTACCAGAGAGTTAAAGCAAAAGTCCGGGGCACCAAATTGCTTTGCCTCCTGGTACCTGAGCTTCCCTGCAGACGCGCGTCCTGGCCCCAGCTGCAGACAGCGCGGCGGCCTGGCCGCAGCCCGCCTTCCTGGTTCTCGAGAAGCAGCTGGAACCCAGGGCCCTGCACACACACCCCTCCGGGGAAAAAGCCTGTTTCAGGGCGTGCCTTCCTGTCAAGGTATACCACCTGTACGACACAAAGACGCTAACCGCAGACGCGACCTGCCATCGCAGGCGGAACGAAGACGTTTCACGTAAAGCCTCTTTCGGGCCGGGAAACATCGGCTGCAGCTTCAGC